TCTGTAAAGCTTTCCTCAGCCCCTCCCTCTGGCTGCATCATTATAGTCCTTCTTTCTTCCCATATTCCTTAGGTTCCCTTCATCCACAGAACTGTTGACACAGAGCTTGGAACAAAGGCTGTGAGAGGGGCAAGTGGTTTCTGGGTCCCTGGCCTTGAGGGAAAAGGGCTTCAGGCCAAAATCCCTGATAAAAGCACATCTCTGCATCCCCTAGTTCCCTCTCCCTACTCTGTAAAGCTTTCCTCAGCCCCTCCCTCTGGCTGCATCATTATAGTCCTTCTTTCTTCCCATATTCCTTAGGTTCCCTTCATCCACAGAACTGTTGACACAGAGCTTGGAACAAAGGCTGTGAGAGGGGCAAGTGGTTTCTGGGTCCCTGGCCTTGAGGGAAAAGGGCTTCAGGCCAAAATCCCTGATAAAAGCACATCTCTGCATCCCCTAGTTCCCTCTCCCTACTTAATTCTTAGAGCTATTGGTCTTTACACAGTGCCCAGAAAGCTCTACTTGAAACACCTTCCTCCAGGAGGCTGAGCACCCCAACAAAGATGAATGTGAGGCGAGGTTCCCACAGAGCTAGGGTAAGTGCCCAGCCCACTGACCACTACAGGGCTCTTGCTGCCTTCAGGGGGCTTGAGGGAATCTCAAGGCAAAGGAACGGACTGACTCCCTTGGGGCTTTTACCCAGTCTATTGGCAGATTGGCCCATGTTCATACCAGTGGGAACCTGGAGGAACAGACACCCCGGACTCTGCTGAAAAACATCATTCTAACTGGTGAGTAACTTGCTGATCAGGGTTAGACACCAGTCCCTTGGTATCCCTCATTCAGTGCAGCCTGCCCTGCCAACTCTGCCCTTTGCTTGCTGTCTCTGCAGCTCCAGAATCTTCCATCATGACGCCAAAGTCTGTGGTGAAGCCAGTGCCGACACCGCAAGTGGCCCAGTCCTCTAGACAGGAAAGCAGTCGGGGCAGGTGCACAGTGAATTCTTCCCTTGCACTGGGCTGTTGGGCAGTTCTGATAAGGGAGTCTCTTGAGGGCCCCAGAAGCCAGTGTTGGGCTTCCTGGCCTGTCTGAGATAAGTTCCATCCTTATAGCCTGGAGCTGCAACTTCCTGAGCTTGAGCCCCCCACAACCCTGGCTCTAGGTCTTCTGGCTCCTGGCAGGAGGAAGCAGAGGCTGAGATTGTCAGTGTTTCAGCAAGAAATGGACCAGGGACTGCCTCTCTCCCAAGGTAAGATCCTGAACACCACCTTTGGCCACCCTCTCTTGCCCTCTAGAGAGGCTGATGAGGTCTGAGAGAGGGCTTTCGTGAGCCTGGTAACTTACCATCGTTTCTTTTTAAATTCTCTAGCAGAGCCTCGTGGGAATGCCAGTGCCTCCTCCCTCACCAGGTGCTGTTGCCTATCCTGGGGTTGGTGGAAAGGCTAGGAGAGGGAGGTATTGATTGGGATGGAATCTGGCCATACTGATCCCTGCAAGTTTTAGCTTTCTGGCATCATGGCTCTGTTCTAAGAGATGAGAGCCCCAGGGCAGATGGGGGAATTCCCTTGAAAATTGGGCCTTAGATACCTAACTTTCTTCTGTGCCTCCTCCCTCCCACCAGCTCCCTCAGTTTGAACTTTGCCACACCTCTCCAGCCACAGTCAGTACAGAGGCCTGGCTTGGCTCGCAGACCTCCTATCCGCCGAGCTGTAGATGTAGGTGCATTTTTGCAGGATCTGCGAGATACTTCTTTGGCCTTGGCTTCTCCAGGTAAGGCTGAGATTTCCCTCTCCCACCCCCCACCCCCCCGAAGGAGGTGCTGCTGAGTCCAGGATTACTCCTCAGTCCAGGATTACTCCTCTCTCTGTCAGGTCAAGGACAGTGAGCAAGCTTGCTAGTAGATCTATGAGGAGTTCCTGCTTTCTTTCTCCAAAGTCCATGTTTTAGTGGGGTCCCAATCTTGGGCCCAGTATCTTCTAGAATCCCATATTCCTGAGAAGCTACAGGGCTGAGGGTAAGAAAGGTGTGGTGTGGTGGCTGGAGCTTCTTGGGAGATAGATAAAGGTCAGGTTCAGGAGCAGCTGGCCAGTCAGGACTGACCAGGCAGCCTGATTCCAGGAAACAAGTCAAGTTCACTAGATAGATTAAGAGGAGGGTTCTTAGTAGAGTGAGAAGTGTAGAGGCATAGGTGAGCAGTTTTGGTGAGACAAACTGTGGAGGGTGGGAATGCCAGGCTAAGAAGCAGGAAGGTAAGCAAAGAGAGCTGTGGAAGGAGGATAAGTCTAGAGTACTAGGTAATTTTTTCTGAAGGCCACCTGGGGCAGACTCATGGGGTCCGCTGCCCAGGCCCTGGTGACTGGTTAGCAGCAGATGGGCCTGGAAAACAGAGTGTCAACTGGCCTTTCATTTCCAGGTGACAGCCTCAGAACCCCTGTTGCCACCCTGCCAACGGATACCGTGTTGGAGGACACTCAGCCCTTCTCCCAGCCCTTGGTTGGCCATTCCCCCAGTGTGTACCACTCCCTGCCCTTTCTCTCTCACACTGAGGCTGAAAATGCTGAGAGGGCTGTCAGTCATAGGACACAGAGCAGTGGGTCTAGGCTGCAGAACCACAGTGAGTATGTGGGGCACGTGGCCCAGAGCTAAGCCTTGGATGAAAACTGGCACTGGTGCTTTTCCCTCCTCAGGCCTATATGTGTGCCCTGCAGAGTCCCCTGGGTATTGGTTCCTCTTACATGTCAGAGCAGAGTTGGTTTTGGACCAAGATACTCCAAACAAGTACCCCGGGTCTGCTTCTGGACATTTCTTCTCAGTGAGCTAGATTGGGTTTATTACACTACCCTTATTCTTCTCAGAGCTATAGCCTTGGGCTACTGCTTCTCGAACCTATATTCTCTCCCTTGATTCAGATCCTGGAAAACCAGCCCAACTTCTGTCAGGAAAGGCAAAGAAAGTTGATGTCCTTGCTGTGAGATTCCCAAACAATAGTAGTGCTATCTCTGGAGAAGATGGAGTAGAGCCCTTACAGGATGGAGTTGGCGAGGAGGCAGAGGAAAGGATGGAGGAAAGTTTGAGTATGAGTGAAGTGATGGGCTCAACAGGAACACAAGGTTCTGTCAGGACAGAAAAGTCTAAGGGACATAGAGAAATGACAGAAGCTCTTGAGGCCAAGGAGCCAGAAGGATCTTCAGAAGATGAGGACATCTCTGGCAGGACAGGTAAAGAGCCCAATGCAGGTACAAGGGAGTAAATGGTTGACTGGGTTCAGGTTAGCTGTGTTCAGTCTCTGAGGAGTTGTACCCTTAGGTTTTGTTTCTGGGCACAAGTGGTGTTGGGTCAGGGTCACTCTGAGGGGCCCATTGTTTGACTGACCAGAGCTAGATGGGGCTCTTGAGGAACAGGACAAGGAACCTCTGGGCCTTAACAGTGGGTTGAGATAGTCAAACCTGAGCCCCCTCTAATCCTGCACTTTCTCTACAGCAAGTCCAGAGTTGGCCTCCAGCACCACTGAGTCTCTTCAGGCCAGGCGACCTCAGTTTCTTGAGCCATCCCCACCGCCTAGCACTACAGTGTAAGATCCCATGACCCTGTAGTGCATGGACCTCTTGGGAAGGGGGCAGGCTTCTGAGCTAGACACTGAGCACCAAAGAGTTATCCCCCTTCCTGTTGATAATGCAGATGATCACTCAAGAGAGCACCCTGAGGTGGGCTGGGTGGGGCTCACTGAGTACACGTGTCATCCTAGTGCATGTTTCCAGGTTCTTAGAGGAACCTGGGTAGGGGAAGTGCCTAAGTCAGTATATAGTCAGAGAAGGCTTCCTGGGGGATGATTAGCAGAATGGGATAGGCCGCAACAGGCTGAGGGGAAAGAATGTCCATGCAAAGGCCTGAGGGTCAAGGGCCTGAGCAAGTACTAGCTTATACAATGAGTCTAGACTGGGACTCTGGGTCCAGACTGGAGGATCAGGGCCACAGGGAAAGACCAGGCCTCTGTGTGGCCCTCGGTCCCCACTGCCCCCAGCAGATAGTTAGAGCTATTTGTCCAGGTTAGCCAAGGAGCACATGGGCCCTAGTCTTCACAGGAGCCAATAAGACTTGTTTTTGAGGCACACCTGGGTGGCTCAGTGGATTAAGCTTCTGCCTTCAGCTCAGGTCATGATCTGAGGGTCCTGGGATCAAGCTTTGCATCGGGCTCTCTGCTCAGCGGGGAGCCTGCTTCCCCCACCTCTCTCTCCACCTGCCTCTCTGCCTACTTGTGATCTCTCTCTCTCTGTCTAATAAATAAATTAAATCTTAAAGAAAAAAAAAAAAGACTTGTTTTTGATTAGGGGCCTCTTTGGGCAGCATTTTAGCTAACTGTCCACTCCTGCCCCCAGCTTATCTTCAGAGCCTCTGGAGCCTCTATCGACCAGGCATCCCCCCAGGGCCCGAACCCATGGCCCCAGGCCCCGTCAAGATCCCCACAAGACTGGATTGAGCCACTATGTGAAACTCTTTAGTTTCTATGCTAAGATGCCCATGGAGAAGAAGGCTCTTGAGATGGTGGAGAAGTGGTGAGTCCTGGATACGCAGGGTGGGGAGAGGAGCCCCTCAGATCATCAATAGACTGTTGAGTCTTTTACCCCAACCCTTTTGGCAGCCTGGACAAGTATTTCCAGCATCTTTGTGATGACCTGGAGGTATTTTCTGCTCATGCTGGCCGCAAGACTGTGAGGCCAGAGGACCTGGAACTGCTGATGCGACGGTAAGTGGGCAGAAGCAGGGAGGTGTTGGGTGTGGGAGTGCTGGCCCTGATTCTAATTCTATCCCCCTCTGCTACAGGCAGGGCCTGGTCAACGACCAAGTCTCCCTGCATGTGCTTGTGGAGCGGCATCTGCCCCTGGAGTACCGGAATCTCCTCATCCCTTGTGCATTCAGTGGCAACTCTGTCTTCCCTGCCCAGTAGTGGCCAGGCCTCAACACCTGCCCAGTCCCCGCTTAGGGGACTGGTCCACCTATTCTTCCAGATCTCCTCCCCACCTCCCCAGTATCAATAAAGTGTCACAAACAGAATGTGCTGTGTCTTGGTATATATCCTGGGGCCAGCCAGGCCAGGATCAATTCCCGCCTTCCCTCCCCTCAACTCCCCAACATAACCTGGAGAACAGGTTCAGATAAATAATTTTATACTAAAAATCAGACTAAAAGTCTCAGCACTAAGGCTGCCCACAGTGGCCCTAGCTTGGGGGTTCCTGCTCTCGAGACCCCATGCGCCTGATGTCAGTCATCTGAAGCCGTTCCAGGGCAATCTTGAGCCATACCACAATGCCTTCTTCCTTCTCTTCACCCTCCTCAGGCAGTTCTGTCACGGGGAGCTGGAAGGCCCGGCTCAAGTAGCCATGTAGGGTCTGCTTGTCTAGCCCGGGATCGATGTTCATCAGGGCTTCACGTAGCTTGGGTAGGGTTACTTCATCATAGCTACCACCACAAAGAAAGAGAGGTAGGCCTTGACCTCTCCTTTCTGCACCCCAGACCCCAAGATTTCCTCTGCTGAACTTGAGTAGTATATAGTGCCCAACAGCAAGCTCAGCAGTGCACAGGGAGACCCAAGGCCTTGAGATGCCACCCTGTGGCATAGGGACTTGCCTATAGCTAAGTGGGCCTAAGGGCTCAGGAGTTACTCACAGTTCTAGGCCCAGTTCCTGTTTTAGCTCCTGTAGGTATTCATCCTTTTCATCCACGTACTGTTCCCACAGCTTTTGTACAAAGGGCATACTCTGACCCTCTTCATCCTGGGAGGGGCCACAAGGCAGGGTGAGAACACATTGGTTGGGGTCCAGCAGAGGCTAGGGCAGGGCTCGGCAAGTTCCTGGACAACCCCTGCCCAACACATACAGATGTAGAGGTGGGTACCTCTATAAATAGTGAGTGGTAGTTCAGCAAGTCTGCACTGCTGCTGTTGGGATGCCAGCCTCCTGCCTCCATCAACTCCTGAATTTTCTCTTCCTTCTTGAAGGGGAAGTTACTCTTGAGGACAGTGCTGTTGGGAGACACAAGGGCCAAGAGACCTGGCTAAGGCCTGCTCACCCATCTTCCTGTACCCCTCTGCCAGCCCCACCAGTGCTCAAAAAGGACAAGTGTTGAGGCTGTGAGCCCTTCCTGCCAGGCTCCCCTTTCCCCTGCATATCTGGGAGCCTGGCCAGATGAAATGTTGGACAGGAGTTTGGATAGCTGGACCAGACTCTCACCTTAAGTTCTCCATGGTTATCACCCCCTCATTCTGATTGTCAGCATTTGTCATCTCCTTCAGCAGCTGTGCCACTGTCTCCTTTTGCTTGATGTATACACTCTCACTCCTCTATAGGGAAGGAAGCATTGACTAATTTGCTGCTTCCTGGAGTGGTAGCAATAGAGCTGGCCTATGCCTGGGACAAAGGAGGGCCAGCCCCAACCTCACCTTTCCCATCAAGACTGCATAGAACTGACTCATGACCTCATTAGAGCGGAAGAGCTTGATATTTTCAAAAATGGTGTAAGCCCAAGCCATGGCTTCACTAGGTCCAAAGCGATGCTCCAGGAAACTGAAGAAGAAATCTGGGAATTTCTCTTTCTGTAGGGTGGGAGATGACTGTTTGGTAAGACTGTTTGGTACCCCATGATGGGTTGGCCCTTCTCTCTAACACCCCAGTGGAACCCCCTGGAAGACTCAAGGCCACACCAAGCCAAAATGGCCCATGAGATCTGACCTCCTCAACAAGACGTTGTTTCCAGGCATCCTTAAGGAGGTTTATCACATCCTTCTTGCTTGGCTTCTTGTTCTCCACAAAGCCATCATATCGAAGGAAAGGAGGGATGGCTTCTCCATAGCCCTGGAAAGGAGAGTGTCAGTTCATCTCTGGGCCCAGGGAGAGCCCCAGATGGTTCCCCCAGAACCTCAAGTCTTAGCGGCAAGGCCTGGCTGTTCTGACTCTGGCCCCAAACCTCCTGAGCCCAGGGACCCCTACCAGACCAGGAAAGAAGTCTTTCTCCCGGAGCAGCCCCTCGCCAATCTCCTCCAGGAGTACATCCACCAGCTGGTCACTGTTCTTGCCCTCAGCCAGCTTTTGCCAGCGATCTGGGCCCCCAGCCACCACATCTGCATGTGGAAAGAGGGAGCTGGAGTTCAAATCACATTCTTGAGCCGTCCCTGGGAGCACAATGGCCATCATTACCTTCGCACTTGCTCCAATCAGGCCGTGGTGTAGAGGTACGCTGGATCTCCTGGAGCTCAGAATGAAACTGGTCCCGCTCTTTCAGTGTGGTCATGTGCAACTGCAGCAGTATCTCATGCTCCTTGCAGACCTCTTCATAGTCACTTCTCAGGCTGTCCAGCTGTGGAACAGCTTGTTACCTACCTACATGACCCTACCTTGCCCTACCCGCCCACCAGTACCTATACCTGCTCCTGCAGATCCTTGTTGGTCTTCTCCTGCATTTCAAAGTCCCTCCTGGGCACCACATCTCCAAAGTTGGCCTTCATGGTGTTGAGTTCCATCTGTGTGCGGGTCAGGTCTTGCCGGGCCATCTTCAGAGCCAGTGTTAACTTCACGGGGTCCTCCCCCCAGATGCCTGCCAGAGTACCCGCCAGTTTGTGTTACCCTGGCTCTTGAGCCTGTAGCCCAGGGAAGGTTTAGAGTGTCCCTCGGGGCCTGGTCCCAGATCCTTTTCTCCCTGATTGGGAAGCCCTGGGTCTTTCCCAGAGCGCTAACAGCTTAGAACTTCAGGCTTAAATAGAGAAGCCCAGGACATGGGGTACCAGGCCTGTCCTGCTCTCAGGGAGTCCAGGGTCCCAGCAGGCCACAATTGCTTCCTACTTAAACAATGAGTCTATGATTCTCAGTCCAGCTCAAAAGATCCATAGACCCGGGCAGCAGCAGGAACATCCCCACTTTGTGAATGGGCATGGATGAACAGACATTAAGAGAGCTGAATGAATAGGGATGAGTGGTGATACTCCTCTCTAGTACCTCCTCAGTGGAGAGAAACCACCTCAGGCTTACCTGGGGACTGGGCTAGTGACATGTCCTCCCTCTGGTACCGCAGCTCATTCAGGTCTGCAATGAGGATCTTGCGGGCATCTCGCTCGCTGAGGTAGCGCAGGTACTCCTCAGCTAAATTCTTTCTCAGTTTGGATACCTGTTGGGAAGGTGGCTGTGAGGTCAGGGGCTATACATAGCTAGCCATCAAAGGGCATGGGATGGGTGCTGAGTGGCCCCATCAGGGCCTGGAAACAAGAAAGGTGGAGGGAGAAGGAGACAAGGTGGTCGCTCAGTTTATCAATCCAGGCAGAAGGGTAGAGAGTTAGGGAGTCACCTTAGTGCCCAGGGCCTCAGATCACCCCTGGGGGGGGGCAGCAGGAATTCAGGGAGTTGGTCACCACACTACTCCCGTTCACCTCGCTCTGCAATGAGATCTTCTCCTCGTTCTTTTTGTCAATGAGTTTTAGCAAATTCATCTTCTCTCTCTTCAGCATGGAGATTTCATATCTCTCCTCAGCCCTCATGGCCAGGATTCTCTCATTGCAGTCCTCATTCACAGTGACAAGCTTGGCCTTCAGGGGCTCCAGAGCCCGAATCTTCTCCCTCTGGTGGGCTAGGCAGGGACAGGTGGGAGAGTCCCTTTGGGACCATAGAAAACAGTCAGGAGACACTGATCCTAAGGTCACAGTGAGTGGCTACGTCTTGCAAACTCCAGGAGTCTATGCATATGCCTTGTTCAAAGCATGGACCCTGTTTAATGCCTTCCTGCATTTGCCTTCCCCCACCCCCGGGTTTTGTTTTTTTTTTTTTTTTCTGCATTTGCTTTTAAATCAAAAACAGAGTCTGTCTGAGGAATGGGGTTTCATCTATGCCCTTTCTCCCTATAGCCTTTAGTCCAGCAGCTGTACCATGCCCAGAACCTCCCGTGTCTGACTGGGGAGGCTCATCACTTCCCAGAGGTACTCACTCCCTCCTGGGCTTTACTCTCAATAGTAAAGTTGATTTCTTTCCATCAGATACTGCCTTACCATGTTTCCCAAGGACAGGAGGTAGTCAGGTGCTCTTATCACACAGGACAGTATAAGCAAAAAAGCTGAGCAACGCCTGGTGACCTCAAGACCCAATTAGTAGCTGCCCCAATACTTCTGCACAGCCCCAGAAGGTCAGAGTGGGATCTTCTCCATGCCCTCCAGACTGGATCCGGGCACAGAGACTGTAGTCTTACCCAGCATCACCTCATACGCATTCTTGATGGAGGACAGCAATGGCTTGTATGTTTTAAAGTCCTCTATGAAGAACTCAAAGATTTCTCTGTAAGGCTGGCAAGAAAAGGGGACCTGTCACCTCCTGGCCTATAGCTGCCACTCTCTTAAGCTTAGAAGTATTGTAGCATGAAGCTGCAAGGTCACCCATATTCAAACATATCCCCCAGGGCACCACCTGGGTCTCTCAGTGCCAGGAAGCTGAGGGGCAGCTCTTTCCCTCTCAACTGTTCTCTGGAGGTCTCTCCTGGTACTATCTCTGAAGTCTGGCAAATGACCTGGGTCAGGGTCACCCCACTCTGGCTCTCCAGCCAGCCAGCCTTCTCCAAGCCCTGTGCCTTAGTTGGCCTCTCGCCTCTTGCTTTCTTATAGACCTGTGGAGGCAGAAGGAGATCAAATGCCCCAGCCTTGTATTCTGACCAAACAGAGGTGTGATTTCCTGTTCCATTTGGACACAGAAGTTTTTGGAGACAGCATTATGTACTGGAATTAGCACAGGTTCTGGAATCAGCCCTGAGCTTGTATCCCAGCCCCACCACTTCAAAGCTATATGTCTTCTCTGAAGTTCTGCTTCCTTGATGAAGTGCCCTCAGACTGTGAGGTTGCATTCAAGGCCCCATTCAGGGCCTCGCACACAGATGACACTCAGCAAATGCTTCTGTCAGTAACTAAGTCAGAAGTGAGGGATTCCCTGTCATCATCCTTGTTTGAGCACGAATTTGGTGATTTTCTCCTTAATATGTATTAGAATCTACTCTGCATCTAGGTTTTTCTAGGTGTCTGGGCTAAGCTCCTCAAGCTTGGTTCTGTCATCCCTAGGCTGTTGAACACTGTGTGACCCCTTCTTGTCCAACTGCCAGGATTCAGGCTCCATTGATTGATGTCCAACAACCCATGCTAGTCACTGAAGATCACAGAGCTGAAAGGACTGGAAACAGCATCCAGTCTACTACCTGACTCAGCTGTGGAAAATCAAACCTCAGGAGAATTTTGATTTTATACTGGCAGCTTTGCCTGCTCACTAACTTTGTCATAGGTCACGTTCCCCTTACCAGGAATGGGGAACCCAAAGAGCTGGGAGAGGCTGGTCTCTCCTTTTTTGTTTGTTTTTTTTTTTTTTTTTTTTTTTAAGATTTTATTTATTTCTGGGGCACCTGGGTGGCTCAGTGGGTTAAAGCCTCTGCCTTCGGCTCAGGTCATGATCCCAGGGTCCTGGGATCGAGCCCCACATCAGGCTCTGTGCTCAGCAGAGAGCCTGCTTTCTCCTCTCTCTCTCTGCCTGCCTCTCTGCCTACCTGTGATCTCTGTCTGTCAAAGAAATAAATAAAATCTTTTTTTTATTTAAAAATTTTTTTTTATTTTACTTTTTATTTTTTTTATTTTTATTTTACTTTTAAGAAAAAGATTTTATTTATTTCTTTGACAGAGGGAGACACAGCAAGAGAGGGAACACAAGCAGGGGGAGGGGGAGAGGGAGAAGCAGGCTTCCTGCTGAACAGGGAGCCCAATGGGCTCGATCCCAGAACCCTGGGAACATGAACTGAGGCCAAAGGCAGACGCTTAAGGACTGAGCCACCCAGGTGTCCCGAGGGTGGTCTCTCCTGAAGTCTGAATTGCTCAGTCCTAGTGAGTAAGATTTCCTCCCACCTGTTCTCCCACCCTCCCAAAGTTATTCCGTGACTCTAACCTGCAGCCTCAGCTCCTGGGTAGAATCTGTGCTCAGGTCCAGCAGGAGGAGCTCCTTGCGCAGGTAGTTCTCTAGCTGCTCCAGGTACCTCGGCTTAGTAATGCCCAGGGGCTGCTTCTGCCAGCTACTGCAGGGGATGGTGGGATGAGATGTGATGGGCACCCCACAGGGCTCTTGCATCATTATTCTGGGGCAGCACACACTCCCACTCTATCTCTGGATCCAATGTTGGGTCTGTACCAGCCCATCCACCACGGGGCTGACCCCAGCTTACCCTGCTCGTTTCCGATAATCATATGAACAGGGCTTTCGATTATGCAGAATGGTCTGACCAGTGGTGTATGTGGGCCATGGGGACAGTTGGTCACCAATGGAGAACTGACAGGACTGCAGGAAGAGACAGGTGGGGTTACCATGACAACACTTCTCCCTTTCCTAATGCTCCTCTCCATCCTCCTCCCTCTACTTTTTTTTTTTTTTTTAGATTGATTTATTTGAGAGAGAGACAGAGAGAGCATGCATGCATGTGCACGCATGGGGGAAGGCACAGGGAAAGAATCTCTAGCAGACCCTTGCCGAGCACAGAGCCCATGTGGGGCTCGATCCCACCACCCCGAGATCATGAAACCAAGAGTTGGAAACTCAAACAACTGAGCCACCCAGGAGCCCTTCCTCTATTTTTTTTTAAAAGATTTTATTTATTTATTTGACAGACAGAGATCACAAGTAGACAGAGAGGCAGGCAGAGAGTGATAGGGAAGCAGGCTCCCTGCTGAGCAGAGAGCCCCATGCGGGACTCGATCCCAGGACCCTCAGATTATGACCTGAGCTGAGGGCAGTGGCTTAACCCACTGAGCCACCCAGGCACCCACTCTGGTTTTTTTTTTTTAAAGATTTTATTTACTTATTTGAAAGAGAGAGCACGTGCACGCATGGGAGAGTCAGATGGGGAAGGAAAGGGAGAGAGAAAATCTCAAGCAGATTCCATGCCAAGTATGGAACTGGATGCAGGGCTCAATCCCATGATACTGAGACCATGACCTGAGCCAAAACCAAGGCTCACTTAACTTAACAAGTCAGACAATTAATTGGGCCACCCATGAACCCCACCTCCCTCTATTCTTGATTTTCCCCCCAACATCTCTCTCTTTTTTAAGTAGGCTCCACACCCAACGTGGGGTTTGAAATCATGGCCCTGAGATCAAGAGTTACATGTCCCACCAACTGAGTGAGCCAGGTACCCCTCCCCAACATCTCTTAATATAGTTCATAGTGAAGACCATGGGCCCTAGAGGTAGAGTTTAGGTTAAAAAGCCAGATATCCCTTATTGGCTGTGTGACCACAGGCTTAACTGCTCTGAACCTCAGTCTCTGCATTTGTAAAATAGGGATGGTTTTAGTTCCCATTGCATTATATTAACGTGAGGATGCAGTGAGAAAACATGAAGTTGGTTTATGCTGACTCAGACACCTCCTTGGAACTCAGTAAAGGTGAGCTATCCTTCTCTTCTGTAGGTATGTCAGTGGGTATTGGATATCTGTACCATGAAAACAGATGTGAGTACCAATCCGTGCCAGCCCTTGCCCCACAGCACAGTCCAGTGGAAGACAGAGGAGGGCAGGTCCAGCCCTGTGCCTGGACTGACACTCAGATAGGACTGCAGAGATGCAGCAGGGGTAGCTGTGGACCCTAGAAAGAGACTAAGCTGTACCCCCTGAGGGGGGAAGGTGGGTGGGAGTGTCCTGAAGAAGTGGGATCTGATTTTGAACCTTGAGGAGGGGTAGGGAGTGGAAGCAGTTAATATGTATAGGCTGTTTTATTTTTTTTTTAAGATTTTATTTATGTATTTGAGAGAGAGAGAGAAAGAAACGGAGATAGCAACAGAGATAGTGAGAGAGAACACAAGTGGGGAGGAGAGGGAGAAGTAGGCTCCCTGCTGAGTAGGGAGTCCAATGCAGGGCTCAATCCCAGGACCCTGGGATCATGACCTGAGCCGAAGGCAGACGCTTAATGGAGGGAGCCACTCAGGTGCCCCATGGGCTGTTTTTTGTTTTTTTTTTTTTAATCTTTTAGTGAAATACTCAAAACTTAGGGAGAAAAAATGAGCCTCTGACCCAGCGAATCTCACCTCTATAGTTCATCCATTCAGTCATCCATTTGTTTGTCAGACATTCCTGGAGCCATAGTACCTTCTCAACCTGCTGGGTTCTAGGGACATGAAGGAAGCTGGGGGTATGACGGAGGTGGGATGACAAATGAACTGATGATCGCAAGTCAGTGGGTAGTGACTAAAGCAATGCAGATTACCAGGAGGGGACAAGACTTGATTGGAAGGGACCAGGGGAAGCTAATCATTTTGTAGGAGGTGGTGATGTCTGTGATGTTCATTCAGTACATAAGAGTACTATATGAGAGGAGCTGAGGTCATTTGGGAGAGGATGTGTGTGTCAGGGTTAGAGGTGGGGTGCAAAGGCATCCTGGGTAGCACCAACACCTCAGGGAAAGGGCAGGTGGTTTAAAGAGCTAGGAATAGGGATGAATGCCCAAGGACAGCAGGCTGCCTGAGGCTAGGACCTGGGGTGGCCAGTGTGGATGGAGACAGGGATGGAGCAGCAGCTTTATGCAGAGGGGCAGTCCTCAAAGCCTTATGACTGTGAAAAAATTGGAAAATTCCTAAATGTCTACAAATTAGAAAACTCCTAAGTGTCTAAAAATAGAAGCAGTCATGAAATGATTACATAAAGGCCTAACACAGAAATATGCTAATGCCATATTTCTAAGGGTTAAGTAAAGCCTGGAATTAGGGAATAAGCACAACTAGGTAAAAATGGATGTCCAGAAGAGACAGAAGAAATAACCTAAAAGGTTACCAGCAATTATTATCCTCTAATGATAGGCCATTAGGTAGTTATTTTTCTGTAATTGAACATTTTTCAAATTTTCTACAATGCACAAAAATTACTTTCCAATTTAAAAGAAAATTGGGGGTGCCTGGCTGGCTCAATTGGTAGCCCGTGAGACTCTCGATTTTAGCATTGTGAGTTCAAGCCCCATGTTGGGGTGTAGAGATTATTTAAAAACAAAATCTTTAATAAAGAAAGAAAGAAAATAAAAGAAAATTGAATTAGAATTCAATGTTGCATTCAATATAAAAGCCCTCTTTGTACCTCTTAAGTATTTGGAAATTTAATAAGAAATTCCTATTTTTGGGCGCCTGGGTGGCTCAGTGGGTTAAGCCACTGCCTTCGGCTCAGGTCATGATCTCAGGGTCCTGGGATCGAGTCCCGCATCGGGCTCTCTGCTCAGCAGGGAGCCTGCTTCCCTCTCTCTCTCTCTCTCTCTGCCTGACTCTCCGTCTACTTGTGATCTCTCTCTGTCAAATAAATAAATAAAATCTTTAAAAAAAAAAAAAAAAAAAAAGAAATTCCTATTTTTCTTGACCCATTAACTTCTTAGAATACAACATATTATAGAAATAATGTTGGGGTGTCTGGTTGGCTCAGTTGGGGGAGCATGGGATTCTTGATATCAGGGTCGTAAGTTCAAGTCCTGCATTGGGTGTAGAGATTACTAAAAATAAATTAAAAAAAAAAGGATGTTAAAATTTCATGTTCAAAATGTTTGGGACATGGTCAGAGCAGCACTCACAAGGTATTTATTTTATTTTTTTAATTTAAAAAAAATTTGAAGTTATTTATTTATTTAATTTTAAGTAGGTTCCACACAATGCTAAGATCAAGACCTGAGCTCTGACAAGAGTAAGATGTGTAATAGACTGAGCTTCCCAGGCACCCCTTTATTTAGGTAACCTCTACCCCCAATGTGGGGGGTCGAACCCATGACCTTGAGATGAAGAGTAGTCTGTTCTACCGACTGAGCCCGCCAAGTACCCTGGTATGAATGTATTTATTTATTTATTAAAAAATTTTAAAAGATTTTATTTATTTGACAGAGAGAGAGAGAAAACACAAGCAGGAGCAGCAGGCACAGGGGGAGGGAGAAGCAGGCTCCCCACTGAGCTGGGAGCCTGACTGCAGGGGCAGCAGGGGCGGGGGGAGCTCCATCCCAGGATCCTAGGATCATGATCTGAGCCCAAGGCAGATGTTTAACTGACTGAGTACCTGGGGTGCCGACCCTGGTATTTATTTTATTTTATTTTATTTTATTTTTTTTTTTTTTTTTTAAAGGTTTTATTTATTTATTTGACAGACAGAGATCACAGTAGGCAGAGAGGCAGGCAGAGAGAGAGGAGGAAGCAGGCTCCCTGCTGAACAGAGAGCCCGACGCCGGGCTCGATCCCAGGACCCTGAGATCATGACCCGAGCCGAAGGCTTTAACCCACTGAGCCACCCAGGCAGCCCCTGGTATTTATTTTAATTGCTTAAAATACTTCTGCTATTAGAAAAGAAAGCTTTAAGCTTTCTTTCTGTTTGTAAAGAGATATGGGGTCACCTGGATGGCTCAGTCAGTTAAGCGCCTGACCCTTGATTTCAGCTCAGGTCATGATCTCAGGGTGGTGGGATTGAGCCTCCAGCCCCCAGCCCCTTGCCTTGTCCCAGGCTCTGCACTAAGTGCAGAGTCTGCTTGTCCCTCTCTCTCTGTTCCTCTCCCCATTTGTGCATTCTCTAATTAAAAACAGAAAACAAAAAAACAAAGATGGGTGGCTCTGGCAGTTAAGGATGTGCCTTCGGCTCAGGTCATGATCCCAGGGTCCTGGGATCAAGTCCTATGTCGGGCTCCCTGCTTAGCGGGAGCCTGCTTCTCCCTCTCCTCTCTGAATCTGCTCTCTCTTGCTATCTCCATCACTATCTGTCTTTCTCTCAAATAAATAAATAAAATCTTTTAAAAGATAAATAAAAGTATAAAAAATAAATTAAAAATAAATAAAAGTATAAATAGACAAATTAGAAAAACGAGAAAAGTCAAACTTAAAAATCAAACCAGAAATTTATAGCAGCAATGTACACAGTAGCCAAACTAGGAAAGAACCTAGATGTCCATCAACAGATGAATGGATAAAGAAGATGTGGTATATATACACAATGGAATACTCTGCAGCCATCAAAAGAAACGAAATCTTGCCATTTGCAACACATGGATGGAACTAGAGGGTATTATCCTGAGCGAAATAAGTCAATCGGAGAAAGACAATTATCTCTGTTATGAGGAATTTGAGAGGCAGGGTCGGGGTATACGGAAGGAAAAAATGAAACAAGATGGGTTCGGGAGGGAGACAAACCATAAGAGACTCTTAATCTCAGGAAACAAACTGAGGGATTATGGACGTGGGTGGGGGAATTGTGCTATGGTGAGTGCTGTGAAATGTGTAAGCCTGATGATTCACAGACCTGTATCCCTGGGGTAAATAATACATTATATGTTTAAAAAAATTAAAAATTTTAAAAAATTTTAAAAAATCAAACCAGAAAAAAAAAGTTTTTGAAATTTGTCAAAATTGATGTGACTTTTTTTTTTTTTTGGATGTGATTTTTTTTAAAAAAGATTTTACATATTTATCTGACAGAGTTCACAAGTAGGCAGAGAGGCAGGCAGAGAGAGAGAGAGGAGGAAGCAGGCTCCCCACTAAGCAGAGAGCCCGAAGCAGGGGCTCTATCACCAGGACCCTGGGATCAGGACCTGAGGTGAATGAAGGCAGAGGCTTTAACCCACTGAGCCACCCACGCGCCCCTGGATGTGATTTTTATAAAAGTGCCAAGTAACTCCGAAAGACAGCTGGGAATTTGTCAAATAAGCACCTGACCCTAGCGAATTAATATGTTTTTCAGACTTTCAAAGGCCAGTCCTTGTGTTCGGTCTGCCCTTTCTGTGGAAAGAAAACGTGGTCACCCTACATGAACTCCTGGGCAAATGCGGCTTCCAGGCCTTGGTTATCATTATGAGCTGGCCTCCACCAGTCGGTGGGTGTGAAGAGGTGTTCCCGGGCGCCCCATGATCTCTGCTTCTCCTTGTAGGTGGAAACGGGAAGGGAGGCCACGGGGGCGAAAAGGGGTTGCAGGGCGGCTTCAGGGAACAATGCCCCCTGGTGGTTAAAAATGGCGGTATTGCGGCTGCACGAAAGGGCTGGGACCCAGCTACACTGCGTGGGTGGCAGCTGAGTGGAGTGGGGAACATGTGCCCCAAGCTCTCCGGTGTTCTGGAGCCCTGGCCCCGCGCTTGGTCTCCACGAAGAGTCGCACTGACCCCTTTCCCTCTCTGAAGTCGGGATCCCCATATTGGGAGTCTCCAGTCTAACAATGTGTGGGGCTCATGTGTCCCCCAAATTACCCATACAGGACACACACAAAGAAAACCACCACACAGCCCAGGTGGCTTTGGGTTAAAGCCTCTGACTTCCGCTCAGGTCATGATCCCAGGGTCCTGGGATTGAGCCCATCATCTGACTCTCCGCTCAGTGGGGAGCCTGCTTCCCCCCTCCCACCCCCACCCTGCCCCGCCCCGCCTGCCTCTCTGCTTACTTGTGATCTCTGTCAAATAAATAAAATCTTTAAAAAATTTAAAAAAATGTGTTTCTTGGGGCGCCTGGGTGGCTCAGTGGGTTAAAGCCTCTGCCTTTGGCTCAGGTCATGATCCCAGGATCCTGGGATAGAGTCCAGCATTGGGCTCTCTGCTTTGCAGGGAGCCTGCTTCCTCTTCCCTCTCTGCCTGCCTCTCTGCCTACTTGTGATCTCTGTCTGTCAAATAAATAAATAAAATCTTTTAAAAAATGTGTTTCTTCATTTGATTCCAATGATGGCTGTTTGCTAATTAAATAATTACAATCCTATGATCATATCAACAAAAACCCAAAAGTACTTAATGAGACAGCATTCATTTTTTTAAAAAGTAAGCTCTTCGTCCAGTCTGGGGCTTGAACTCACCACCCAGAGATCAGGAGTCACATGCTCTACCAACTAAGCCAGCCAGGTGCCCAAGATAGAGACAGCATTCATTTTTATATAAAAACTTAAAGAACAGGAATGGAGGAAGGACATTTCCTGAGGCTAGGAGAGTCTTTGTTTCCAACCCAGAGCCAGCAACACGAAGTGGGAACATCCCTTCACTCCTGCCTTCACTTATCTACTCACAGCATTATGGAGCTCTCAACATATGCCTACCACTCAAGTATCCTATGAGGAACCAGGGCCATACATAAAAAAAGATACAGTCACAGCCCTGAAGGACCTTGGCAGATCTGTGACCATCCCAGCACCTAGCATAATGCCTGGCACATGTCAGGCTGAATGGAAAAACGAGATCCATTCCAGAATGCTGAGCTGCAGTGAAAGCATATCCATGGACATCAGCTGCATCTCTCTCTGCTAGAAGAGGTCTGGACAGGCTTTTCAGGTGAGCTGCAGCCAGTGTGCACACACCTACCTCAGAGCCTGATGGGTTTGGCCTCCAGGAGCTGCACTCCCTTAACTGGGGAGAAGCCATTCTGGGAGACGTGTTTCAGATGCATGGTGCTTTTGGGTTGCAGAGAGGGAGACAGATAGGGTCTGAGAATTGACATTAGGGTTTCCGACAAGACATTGGCACTAACCAGCGTCTTCTGTTTCTGAGAAAGCTTGCAATTCTGAGTGTTCTTGATTTCTGTGAGGAAGGAGTCATCTATGGTCCCTCCTGAAGTCCGCACGTGTGTTCTGCACAGAAAAGGGGAAGACAGTGGTAGGTGACAGAGCCCTGAGCCCTGAGTGGGAATAGTACCTCCACCCTTCCTAGATCTACAAGAGAGATGACCTCTTCTCTCTGTTGCAGATCTAGGTTCTGGGTCTTCCCAGTACTGCCTACAGATTCCCAGAGATGCTGCCAACAAGCTCCTGACCCTGGGCCAAAAACATTTCCCTATATTCCCGGAAACCTTCTCATGCTGAGAATCTCACCAATTCCCCAATTCCTGCAGTAACAGGAAAGCCTCACCATGAGCCCACAAAACTCTGTGGTCTTACACTTTCATTCAGTATTCAGATGAGTTTCATGTTTGTGACATTCTGGGGGTGTCATACCAAAGGCAGGTGCTATAGGACGAGAAGCACAGGGCCAGGAGCTTGTTGTGCCAGTCCCTATCTTGCACATACTTACAAGCTGAAGGGCATGGAGCCGACATCTGGGGTTCCAATAGGAACCCCGGGGCAAGTCATTTAACCTCTCTCAGCCTAGTTTGCTCATAAGGAAACGGAGACAAATTCTTTCTTTCTGGGGCACCTGGGTGGCTCAGTGGGTTGAGCCGCTGCCTTCGGCTCAGGTCATGATCTCAAGGGTCTTGGGATCGAGCCCCGCATCGGGCTCTCTGCTCAGCAGGGAGCCTGCTTCCTCCTCTCTCTCTGCCTGCCTCTCTGCCTGCTTGTGATCTCTGTCTGTCAAATAAATAAATAAAATCTTTAAAAAAAATTCTTTCTTTCTTTCTTTCTTTCTTTAAGATTTTCTTTATTTGAGGGAGAGAGAGAGAGCACATGTGAGCAAGCATGAGCAAGGGGGAGAGGCAGAGGGAGAAGCAGACTCCCCACTGAGGCAAGGAGCCCGTATGCGGGATTGATCCTGGGACTCGATCCTGGGACTCTGGGATCATTACCCGAGCCAAAGGCATATGCTTATCTGACTGAGCCACCCAGGCACCCTGGGAAATACACAATTTGAAGGTCCCTTTTAAGAGGATCTGCTGACATATTTATAGTACTAAGGTCTGGCCTATCCTTCATCATCCTGGCCCTGCTCTAAGGGGAGCTGGAGGAGGACACCCATACTGTGCCTCTAAGGGAAAGAGCTTGGCCCAGTATACATTACTAAATACTGGTGAAGAATATGGACAGGAATCAATGATATTATGTATTGCTACCAAATTCAGCCTCAGCAATTACATTCTTCTTCTTCTTCTTTCTTAAGATTTTATTTTTAAGTAATCCCTACAGCTAATGTGGGGCCCAAACTCACAAGTGGAGATCAAAAATCACATACTCCACCAACCAAGCCAACCGGGTACCCCCATTATGCTTCCTTCTTAAAATAGATGCACATTTATTCTCCTGAATCTGTTTCATATCCCCCTCAAACATGACTGTATTTTCCTGTCATTCCTGTGCTGGGTAATTATACTCTTTCTCAAGCCTGTTGTATGGTTCTTGTAGATTCATTTTAGCTCTGGCAAATAATTTACTTTTTTTTTTTTAAGAGAGGAAGGAGAGGAGGGACAGAGAGAGAATCTTAAGCAGTCTATATGCCCAGCACAGAACTGATACGGGGTGGATCCCACAACCCCAAAAATCATGATCTGCGCCGAAATCAAGAGTCAGACACTCAACCGACTGAGCCACCCAGGCGCCCCTCCTGACTTTTGTAGGCTTTCTTTATTGGGGCAGCAAACCTTGAAGGATTAAAGTTTAGGTGAGATCAGGTTTTTACATTGGTACTGATTAGAAGGGAGAAACTATATTCATTGAACACTTGCTGAATACTTAGTACATGCAAGAGCTGCAATGACAGCTTTACTTATTCTGCCTAAGTTTTCCCAACAATGTGAAGTGGGTTGTATCCATCCCTATGTCTGAGATACAGAAGCAGAGGCCTAGGACTTTTTTTTTTTTAAGGTTTTATTTATTTTTTTGACCGACAGAGATCACAAGCAGGCAGAGAGGCAGGCAGAGAGAGAGAGAGGGAAGCAGGCTCCCTGCTGAGCAGAGAGCCCGATGCGGGACTCGATCCCAGGACCCTCAGATTATGACCTGAGCCGAAGGCAGCGGCTTAACCCACTGAGCCACTCAGGTGACCCGAGGCCTGGGACTTAGACTTCTCTGGGTTCCCAAAGCTAGAAAGATATTTAGCCAAATCTAAAAAAAAAATTTTTAATTAAAAAAAAGATTTTATTTATTCATTTGAAACAGAGAGATAGAGATAAAGATAGAGAGACCATGAGCAGGGGGAGGGGTAGAGGGAGAAGGAGAAGCCAACTCCCCACGGAGCAGGTAGCCCCACCTGGGGCTGATCGCAGGACCGGGAGATCATGATCTCAGCCGAAGACAGATGCTCAACCACCTGAGCCACTCAGGCGCCCCAAATTTCTGTTTTAATATGTACACTTTGTGGCTTTCCTGGCTAATAGAGCTTGTTGTTATATTTTGCAGTGCCCAGAGGCTGCAATCCCTGAATAGACAGCGATTCGACAAGCCATAAACCAATGAAGAGGCAGTTTATCCCTGTGGCTAAGAGCTCAGGTTCAGAGGTCTTACATGGCTGGGTTCAAATCCCAGCTCCACCACTTATAAACGTAAAACACATGATCTCTCCAGGCTTCTACTCATTTGTAAAACGGAGATATTACTACCTCATAGAGTTGTGAGGTTAAATGTGCCATATATAAAGCACTTGGCACATAATATATGCTTAACACATGCTGGCTCTTACTAACGATAAAGGGCGCCGGCCCTTTTGCTAGCGCGTGATGTCCTCAGAGGGCTAAATTAGCCCGGATTCAGTTTCTGCACCACAGATCCTGTGGGGCCTGAAGCCTTGGACAAATGGACAGAGGCATTTCTCTTTCTGGAAGCTCTCAAACCCTCCTCTCTACCCTCAGTCCGGCCAGTGCCTACCTCGATGTGGTCGCGAAGCTGGAGGACCGCGGCTTCGGGAAGGCCATGACCCTCAGGCAGCGGGGCAGCCCGCATCCGCGGCGGGGGAAGCTGTGGTAGTGTACAGCCCGTCGCTATGGCGACCAGGCCCCAGCATCCCAGCGGCTGGGGCGGGGTCACGGTTGTGCCACACCCCCGCTCCCCGAGCCCGCAGGCTGGGAGGGAAGCCAATTAGCAAAGGTGGCCTCAGACCCGGGAGTAGGGTCCCCTCGGTCAATCACTACAGTGGATTTGACTCTAGCTATCAGAACTGAGGCGGGGTGATAAACAGAGGTTATGGGGGTGCACGGCGAACTGAGGGCCTGGATCCGCCTTGCCAGCGGGAATTGTAGTTTTTGGTTTCCCGAAGTCTCGCCGAACAGGCTTATGACTGAGCAGATATGTACTACATCTCCCAAAGTTCCCTACGAGCCCGGGTTGTCCCGCCTCTGGAAAGCTCTGCATTGTGGGATATGGAGTCCTCAATGTGGCGAGGGCTGGCAATGTCCAAAGAGAGGTGTCGGACTCGGACTCGGTTTCCCTGCGGCCTCTGTAGGCTCGTCGGCCATTGGCTGAGCGGGGAGGATCTGGTCCCGCTCCTCCCCGCCCCCAGTGACACAATAGCAGCTCCCTCCAAGATGGCGGCGGCGACGGTGGACCCGGGAGCTGGGAGCCCGCAGGCTGGAGATTCCTCTGGTGGGGGCGCTGGGGGCGGGCTGCCGTCCCCGGGGGAGCAGGAGCTGAGCCGGCGCCTTCAGCGCCTGTACCCCGCGGTCAACCAGCATGAGACGCCACTGCCGCGCTCTTGGAGCCCCAAGGACAAGTACAACTACATCGGCCTCTCCCAGGGCAACCTCCGCGTCCACTACAAAGGTATCGGCCTCTTTTACCCAGGGAGGTTGGGGGATGACCGGAGCATTTGCCGGGCACCTGTGCTGCCCGACCCCTGCCATATCACGTCCCTTCCCTGGCCTAGGTGCTCCAGGTTAGGCCTTGGCCCCTGCGGGATGTCCATGGTGTTGAGGCTGACCAGGCCGAGGGTCGACTCTCTAGACTGCTGTGCCCCTGAGACACCCGATGGCAAGAGAACTGCAGCAGGTGTCCAAACCCAGTGCAGGCCTGGACCTTCCACCCGAGGGCCTTTTTGCTTATCCTGGGTGGCTCCAATTCCAGCTGGGCCTTTCATCACTGCTTAGTTTTGGGAGTGTCAGAAGAAGGGGGTGGTCACATCCCCTCCATTAGCCAGAGGCCTTTGGGCTTGCTCACCTGCCAGACATCACAGACAGAGATTGGAGTTCTTTATTAAAGTTAAGGGGGATGGACTTCCAGAGCTGCCTCCTCCTCCCCTGATCTCCCAGGTGGGCTCTCTATATTCTGGAGAGACTGCCAGCAGCACTTGGGAATCTCTCACATGCATCCATATTGCCTGTACCCTCCTTTGGTTTGTATGGGAGAAAGTGTCTCTGGCAGGGCTGCTATTCACAGAAGGAAGTGAGCCAAAAGTGGGAGGCTTATGTGTTTGCTCAGTTGTTCTCTAGTTATTTCTTGAACTATGTAAGGGCTTCCTCTGGCCATGAAGGGGTGAAGTTGCCATGGAGCAGAAAAGAACAAGGCTTCTATCTGCATTTCTGCTGAAATTTCTTCCTTGCTCTCTCCTATTAGGTCATGGTAAAAATCACAAAGATGCTGCCTCAGTGCGTGCCACTCACCCCATACCTGCTGCCTGCGGCATTTATTACTTTGAGGTGAAGATTGTCAGCAAAGGAAGAGATGGGTAAGCCCCTTCTTACCATCTTCTTTTCCCCAGCACTGAACTGTTCCTTGTGGTCAGAGTTCGAGGTCTCCTGGTTGACACTTGTGACCGATGTGAGCTCCTGAGCTATGTGGGCCTGGGCTACAGAGGGTTGAATAGTGGCGCTGCCTCTGTTACCTGACTGTTGGTATGGCCTGGTTTAAGCGGCAGCTGTTGATGGCAAGTAGGTGCATTGCCATCAACAGGTAGAGGAGGGGACTTCTAAAGAGATTTAGTGATTACACTTCTAAAGTGATTATGTAATGAGATACCTCACAAGTCAGGGAAACCAGTAACAAGTTTACATTAACAATTCAGTATCCAGAATGGGATTTTCCCCACTGTCCTTTGGCATTTGTGACTTCCCTCCTTTCACACTCTTGCTGCATTCAGGGTTCTTTTTTATGGCATTTAGTCACATAGAGGCCTCTGTAGGCTTCAAAGGGATAGTAGAGTCTTCACAGCATTCATCATAGCTGTGGCAGCCACTGGCCTGTCATCTCAGGGTAAACAGTATGCACATGGTCAGAATCAGGTGACCTTGCTGCTCATAAACTTGTTTTTCAGTCCAGGGACTTGAACACCAGTTGGACCAGCTTTAAGAAGTTCCTCATTAAAGTCAGCATTAAGGAGGCTCCTTATTTTAGGGTGATCTAAGCACACACCTGGAAGTCAGAGGGGAGATTTCTCATTTTTCTTTTTTTCCCTTTTTCTCCTACTCTCTTTTTTCCCATTGATTGTGACATAGCAGGTGTTTAACTTATGAAATAACATGATTTCAGCTGTCTTGGAAAGGCTTTCCTCATTAGACCCTAGGTCTGATGTGGGAAGTTTGCCAACTACACCAGTGACCTTCATGCCAACCCTGAATATGTATTCTTGAGCATTCAAAATACTTCCTCTCTCTTAGGGACTGCCCTTCTTGTGGTGCATGCAAAATGCCCAGCCAAGGGGCTGTGCTGGGGGAGGACTGCTATAGTCAAGAGCTTTGCCTGCTTCTTCAGTGAAATTGTGTCATCCTTGCCTGGGATGGTTGTGTGGCCATGGGTAGAAGGCGCAGATTCAATCTCTTTGTCTGTGCTATGGAGAGCTAGGCCAGCACCTAAACTGCCTTTAACCCCGGGGTTCCATGATTCTGAAATTCTGATCATGGCATGCTATTACATCTTTCAACTTTTATCCTGTCTAGTTAATTTAAAGATAGGAAACATACTATTGGAGGGCTTTAAAGTTTCTATTTTCCCTTCCCATCATCTGATCAAAGCACAAAGTGCTTGAACTAGTGTGAATGAGAATGGCCTCTTAAACAGTGCAAAAATAGTTTTGGTAGAGACTGAAATGGCAGTGGCTGGAGTCTGATATTGCCAAAGAGACCGAGGGGCATTACTTGGACTTTAGGGAGGAAAATCAATTGTTTTCTCTGTATTCCCAGTCATAGATAACCGCTGAGCTAGTGAGAAAAGAGAATACTTTTTCAGAAGGGGAGTGTTTAAATGTAGAGACCTGAATTCCTTCAACTGGCTTTTCACATTTCAGTTGTAAGTGGATCTTGCTGGAAGAGGCCTTGTGTCTTGTTAGTTGTCCTTACTATAGTTTTTGCCTGCAGATTTAAAGAAAGTTGGGCATCTTCTATCCGTTTCTGTAGCCAGCATTTTTATATGTGGTTAATATAACCAATAGGCTGACCTGGAAACCTCAGTTTTAACAAAGGCCTCACGTCCTCTGTATTTGTAGTGGCCTGCTTCACTTGACCACTGTCAGATAGCAAGTATATGAATGTCTCCTCGTGGCCTCTTTTTTTTTTTTTTTTTAAGATTTTATTTATTTATTTGACAGAGAGAGATCACAAGTAGACAGAGAGGCAGGCAGAGAGAGGGAGGAAGTAGGCTCCCTGCTGAGCAGAGAGCCCGATGCGGGACTTGATTCCAGGACCCTGAGATCATGACCTGAGCCTAAGGCAGCGGCTTAACCCACTGAGGCACCCAGGCGCCCCGCCTCGTGGCCTCTTTATGGAATCCCTGAAAGCTGTCTCATGGCTAGAATGTAGCCAGATAGTGGGTTTGAGGAGGCAAATGGCAGAAAATGATCAGCTCATTATTTGTTTCCCGTCAGTAGTGGAGGCGAGTTTCTAACCTAGGTTTGGTCTGTGACCCAGGTGTTAACCAGTTGTGTTGTATAGCTTTCCTGTATGCTCGAGTTCCAGCCTCACGGTGTCTCTGAAAAGTGGCTGGAGCAGATGATAATGTGTCTTTTTTTTTTTTTTTTTTTAAGATTTTATTTATTTATTTGAGAGAGAGAATGAGAGAGAGAGAGCATGAGAGGAGAGAGGTCAGCGGGAGAAGCCGACTCCCTGCTGAGCAGGGAGCCCGATGTGGGACTCAGTCCTGGGACTCCAGGATCATGACCTGAGCCCAAGGCAGTTGCTTACCCAACTGAGCCACCCAGGCACCCCAGCAATATGTCTTTAAATTTGTTTGTTTTTAGATTTTATTTTTTTAAAAGATATCTTTTTTTAAAGGGAGGGAGAGAGAGAGAGAGAAGTGCACACAAGGGTGGGGAGGGACAGAGGGAGAGACAGAAATCCTTTTTTTTTTTTTTAAAGATTTTATTTTTATTTAATTGAGAGAGAGTGCGTGCATGTGCGCACACAAGTGGGGGAGAGGGATAGAGAGAGAAGCAGACTCCGTGCTGAACATGGAGCTGAATGTGGGACCTGATCCCAGAACCCTGAGATCATGATGTGAGCTGAAGGCAGACACTTAACCGACTGAGCCACCTAGATGTCCCAGAAAATCCTTTTTTTTTTTTTTTTAAAGATTTTATTTATTTATTTGACAGTGATCACAAGTAGGCAGAGAGGCAGGGAGAGAGAGAGAGGAGGAAGCAGGCTTCCTGCCCAGCAGAGGGCCTGATGTGGGACTCGATCCCAGGACCCTGAGATCATGACCTGAGCCAAAGGCAGAGGCTTAACCCAGGCGCCCCAAAATCCTTTTTTTTAATAAAAAGATCTTCTTTGGACACCTGGGTGGCTCAGTGGGTGTGCTCTCTCTCTTTGTCAAATAAATAAATAAAGTCTTTAAAAAAAGATTTTATTTATTTAGTTGAACGAGAATATGACCTCATTGGGGAGGGGCAGAGGGAGAGGGAGAAGCAGAAGCAGAAGCCGAGTCTTCACTGAGCAGGGAACCCAAAGCAGGGCTCTATCCCAGGACCCCAAGTTCATGACCCGAGTCTAAATCAAGAGTCAGCCACTCAACTAACTGAGCCACCCAGGCACCCTGATAATGTGTCTATTTTGTGAGTTAGTCCTGAACCCCTAGAATGTTTGGTGACCTGTCCTGGCACCATGGTTTGAGTGGCCCAACTTGTTAGATGTCCTTGCCTGATCCCAGACATACGTGTCTCTGCTGGTGCCTTTCCCCATTGAGTTCACTCCCTGGGTAGAGTGAAGGAATGTCCAGTTGGATTCTTAGGGGATCACAGTGTCCTTAAGAGACAGAGCTACAAGGTGTTAAGTGGTGAATGGGGCCAGAGAAATGTGGCATACTCTGTACTGGGCTTGATTTACTGAATCTGTAAATTTGTTTTTCTGTAGTTTTGAGTACATTTGTAAAAGGTGTTTATGAACCCATTTATCAATGTCATTTTCTAGAAAGGCCTTTGTTCTGATGATTTTTGTAGAAGAACATACTAATCTAGTCTAGTTTAGAAAGTTTCATTTTAGGGGTTCATGGAGTATTTAGTCATACCTACTATGTGCTAGGCTGGGTACAGGGAGAATAAAGGTAAAGCCAGCACAGGACAGCTTTGTCCTCAGAAAGCCTTTGGCCACTCAGAAGAGAGTAGACGGAAATATTCTCTGCAAGAGGAGGCAGAGTGTGGGTTTGATTTTGAGGGATGAGTAGGAGTTTCTCAGCAGGTGAGACCTGCTGGACCTAAAATGAACCTGCTTAGTACCTGGCTTGAAGTCAGGGCGCTGGGCTTTCTGGGCACTCCTTAAATGTAAGAGACAGCTAAAGAAGGAGGGGCTACATTTGAGCTAAGAGCTTGGTACAAACTGATGGGCTTCAGCTGCATTTTGCCGAGTCACCAGTGCTGGGAATGGCAGAAGTTGGGTCTGGTGGGTGAGGAGACATCAGAGCCCTGCCAGTGGTGCCAGGAGTTAAGGGCATTCAGGTTGATCTTGTTAGAAAGCCACTGAGGCCCTGCAGCTGAGGGTTCCTGGGGGAAATGACTTGCTTAGGCAGAGTTTGTGGACTTGTGGGTGTCCCCAGCTCTTAGTGATGACACATGGAGGGTGTGGCTGGCCAGGCTGACAGATGCTCCAGTGTGACCCTCAAAATAGACTGTAACATCATCCCAGCAGCAGCAGCCTCCTGACATGTGATGGGTGGCTCTACCCAAGAACAGCAAGCCTGGGCTGGAGCACAGGATGGAGTTAAGGTGGGGGGGGTGCTCTTCTCTGCAGCTGGTGCCCAGGCCCAGGCCCTGGCCACAGCCAGCCTGCCTTTGCTCGAACTCGCAGCTGACTTCCTTTGGCCAGGCAGCAAAGCACTCATCATTAATTCTGTATACCACAGTGAGGCACCCATTGTTTAGTCTCGGTGCCAGGCCGGGCCTTCAGGAACACAGGCCTGAGGCTCATCTAGGGAGGAGGCAGATATGCCTACACATACAACCTTACAGGGTGGTATAGAAAAGGCCATTCCATAGTGTGCGCTATACCCAGGGGTGGCCCAGAGGTTGGGCTTTCTCTGTACCTGAAAGTTTGGGGAAACCTTCATAGAAGGGGTGATGATGCTAAATCTGGAAGGATGAATTAGAGGGTTCCAGGTTTTCTCTTTGTTGAGAAGCAGGTGATCCAGGCATAAGTAGTGGTGTATAAAAAGATGAGGAGCACAGAGCATGAGGTAGGCAAGGGCCAGGTCAGAAATACCTTGTATGCTCTGGCTGAGGAGGATGGGCTTTATCCTGAGGGTGGT